ATAATAATAATAATAATAATAATAATAATAATAATAATAATAATAATAACAATAATAATAATAATAATAATAATAATAATAATAATAATAATAATAATAATAATAATAATAATAAAATTGTAAATGAGTAATGTATCAAGTGATAATAAATTTTTATGGGTTCTTTCTCTTTTTTTCCTCTTCTAATTGATCATATCTGTTCGCATATCTACATTTTTGGTTAAACTAATTGATTACTTTCTGATTTATTAGCATAATTTCCAATATCAAATCAATGTTTTCGGTTACATTCGCCAGTATCATGCAATCAACATATTCTTATGTTATGATAATTGAATCAACGATATGTTAAAAATAATATTAAAAAAGATTCTAATAATAGGAGATTTAGACAAATGTTTTATTGACAGTTTACTTTGATTATGATTCCATAAATCGATGACATCAATTCATTTAATTCTTTGAAATTTTACATTTGAAATGACTCGACACAGGAAACCATTGAATTCTAATCGAAGATTATCATCGTCACGATCGATGTTCAGTGAAACAACTCGAAGATTGCTCATCTGAGGTAAGAGAGAAAATCCAGTGATTACTGCATCATTGGTCAATGTATTGCTGGACTGACCACTGGTTGTATGCAACAGGACAAGAACGAGTGATGGATCAATGTTCCCACGTTGCACAAATTCCTCGTACCTTAGCATAAATGCCAATGAATCAATATAATAGTTTGATCTTATTGATTCATTACAAAACATTTGATCCACTTACTTCTTCAGTTCTTATGATATCCAGAAATCCATTTATTCTGTTAAAGATATCAGAGCATAGCTAAAAGTTGAGAGAAGATCTATCAGTTGTTCTGTTCTTTTTCAATTCCGCATTTCTGATATGATATCGCAAAGGAACAGGCTTCCTCTCTTCAAAAAGGATATCCGAAACTAAGAATGCGTTATTGCTCTTTCAAAAGATCTATTAGTTATTGATTCATTTTGCTCAAAATCAACAATGAAATATTTGGGCCAATTCCGATAAAGATGGAGGAATAGCCCGACATTTCATTCACCATCTTAGTTCTGTTGTAGCAGATTTATAGTTGACGCTTTACGTGGGAACGAACAATTAGTCGCAAGAATTGTTGATCTTATAGTTCACGTCTCAGCTAAAGTAATGTAAATTGATACCATGGCAAAAGTGCCGATCCTTCGTCTTGATCAGGCCTACATATCAATATAACACCATGAGTATTACGTCGAATCGCAGGCCAGCATTTTTGATATTGTTTATCACCACTGCAGTCCCAAAGTTCTACCTCTGCTTCCACTCGTTCTCCATCAAGTTCCAGATCATTACTCTCGAATTCAACAATTCGTACACCTCAACAATATCATCGTTTCTTTATATCAAAATAGTGCTAAACAACATGTCATCTGCGATCGCCCGAAAAAAATAATGCATTCAAGAAGCTCATTCCTTAAATTTCAGCTTTAATAATCTTTTAATATCAATAAAAATCTTAAAACTAAATTGTATCGGCAGGAAATATCATTTATTGCACAAAATAAGAACAAAGTTTTCACCTCGGGTTGGTCGATATTTATTGAGGCTTATATCACTTGAATCCGCCAAGTAATTCGATATTGTCGTCTTTCCGCTCTAATTTATAATGTAATTAGGAAAAATTCTTTTTCCTTGATTTATCAAACTATTTGTTGTACATTATGGATCTTCAAATTTTGAAATAAAAAGTTATTTGAAAGAAAAAAAAACAAAATGAATGTTAGTTAACAAAGTTGATTTGATTTGAAAAATGGAAATATTTATATTGTTGTTTTAACAAAGAATCCGATGGATAGTAATAAAATGTTTCGAATAATTGTGCTGCAAAAACAAAAGAAATCAAAGATATTTACATTTTATCAATTAAATAACTACTTGCTACTTGAATTATCTGATAAACAATCAAAAGGAGAAAATTAAAAATTTCAACAGAATTTTTGGATATTTGATTTTAACGGAAACTATCATAAAGCAACTAACTAACACATTGCGTTTTAATTAAAAGGATGGTGATTTAAATTCGATCAAGAGGAATGTTATCTCACCTGAAGTGGTCCAAGAACAAGAATTTTGATCTTCAAAGGAGTGGTGGTCGCCATCGTTTTCATTGACACTATGGGAACTAATCACCATGACTACTGCATCATTACTTGCTATATTGCAGTGAAGCCTTTGCAAAGCTGTTGATTTGAAAAAAATCTAAATTATCTCATCGGTTGGTGTACTCATTATCTAAATGATAAGAATCAATTGCTGTTGATACTATTATTAAAATATGCTGGCAAAAAAAAAAAAAATTCAAGACATTTTAAGCGAGCTTCTAACTAATTCTTCAAAAATGATGAACCGATGAAATGTCAGGACATTGTATGTTTTTCATTTCTTTGAGTGGTTGCTTTAATTAACACAGTCACTCAGAATAAGTTTGTCTTTTTGTGGCTTTGGTCATGTCGCATTGACATTTTACTTGAAACAATAAATGAATCTTATTCCAGGGATAATTTTAAAATCGATTCAGGACTAAGTTTAAGCATGTTCAAAGGCTTCAAATCTTTAAAAAAATTATCTCTTGAGTCGTTCCAAAAGTCATAGCTTTCATTATGATTTGCTGAAAAAACGCTCCTTCAAAGCTTGAAGTTTTGTAGGTTTTAAAGAATAGATTGTGTGATAAATAATGGCTGCTTCCACTCCACCAGCAGGAAATTTACCTCCAGCTTCAACTCCAACTCCACCAGATAGTGCTCCAGCTCCACCTGTGGGAGGTGGACCACCAGCCGCTCCACCACAAGGCGGAGTAAAGCCACCAGTTGCTGTTATATCAGTACCGATACCACCGAATAAACCAAATGAGCCAGCGTTCCAGCTGAAAATTGAGCCAGACACAAGATTGGAGTTTAAAAGTGACAAATTGACAGAAGAACCATGCCAAATTGAAGTTAAATTGACAAATCCATCGAAGGATAGACAAACATTCAAGGTTTTTTTTGGTTATGAAAATTAGACTGTTCTGGGAAATTGTGTATAAAAACAAATGATATCAATTTATTTGATAGTTTCTAAAACAGACAGTATCCGTTTGAATGTTCAACGTTGATTAAACAAACATCTAAACCTTACTCCTTCAGTGTTTATCTGTCACAAAACTTTTGTTTGTCGTAACGTGATGAGCCTAAAAGGTGCAAATGATGAATTTGTCAGCCTTTAAATCCATTTGAATTTTTTTCATTCAAAATTCATTTAAATTTGAATTCAAAGCTTCTGAATTTTAAAACATCGGTCGGAACAATTTACTTTCGGTATATCACTGGCCGAAAGAAAATCAATTCCCGGAATGTTCTAGGTGAAATGCACATCAAACGATATTTTTCGGGTGCGTCCACCGCTTGGATTTTGCGATGCAGAAGCTTCGACTACAATTAAAATTACGTTTTCAAGTAAAACAGTGCCTGATAGTGGAAGGCATTATTTTGCATTTTATCACATGAAGAGTAATGAGGTTTGTCAATACTGTGAAATTCTGATTAATCTTTCCAGAAACTCTTATCAAAGGAATCCGGAGCAACATTTTTCCCTTTTTCCCCTCCTTCTTGAGATCCATTTTTTTTCTTTAATCAAAAAGTTTAGATTCAGAACCCCGGGATCCTCTATTTTCTGAAATCTGTCATTGAATATAATGTTGACAATATGTGCATTGACCAGAGTTATTCTGATGTTTTGTTTATATCCAGAACGTTTTGGCATTAGCTTTAAATTAATTAATAGCAACAGACTAACTACTGACAGAATACCAGAAACATTTCAAAAAAAGTAATATAATGAAGATTAAGATAATAAATTAATCATAGTGTATTATATAGAAAAGACTCATATCGATCGATAAGACCGGTCACAGTTAATTGAATTGATAAGATGAAGCTAGCATTTCAGCATTGATATTTAAAGTGACATTACACCTTTAATGCATAGTGTCTCTTCTAATTTTTTTCTTTTTAACTTATAATTCACAATGGAGACCTAAGGCCTAAGACCCATTTCACTTATCACTTATCACTGATCATTTCACTTATCAATGTACATACATTGGTGTTACTCTTAGTGCCTTATCCTTTAACATATTACCAATTTACATGATTCCAATCAGATTCCATTGGTACTAATTGTTGAAGAGTTGACATCGAAGGAAGTGATAATATATTCTGAGAATTTCATCAACATATTGATGAAGTCGTTGGTAAGAAAGATAACAGGACTGATTGATTGATTGATTGTGTACCATTTTCTGCTTAGATAATATTTCTAAGAAATATACTCGTTGTATTGATATTTCTTCCTTGCGCATTCCGTTATAACTTCTACGAATGAATTGAACTATAGTAAATGATGTTGTGAAAGTTTGAATTGTCTGAGTTGAATAATTTCAGCAACAATATATTTAATATTTATTTGTGTAGGAGAGTATCCAAAGAACTTCTTTATTGACAGGATAATATGCAGATCTCTTTAAACAATAATATCGACCAAACCAATAGACTTTAAATTTGGTAATATAATGGACAGTTGGATTTAAGAGAAGAGATGCCAGGAATATTTCTTGCAATAACGTTGATGTAGCGTCCAATCCAAAAAAGGAAAAGGGAAAAAGGGATTTTTCTTTTGGATAGGCTTATATATGTTAAGAAGTGAGAGGCGGTG